GAGATGAGAAAATGGTGCCAAGGTTAGACACCTCCAACGCCAAAATCAATTTGGGAAGGAATGCATATGATTCTTCCCAGTCACCAAATACGACGTCCATTGCTTTCTGTTTCCCATGCCACGCCTTCTTGTAGTTAATGATATAACCAATGCAATCAAAATTGGGATTTTAATCGTAAAATCGTAGGATTTTAGGATTTTACTTAGGGATTCCGATCCTGATTTTAATATACAATCGATGGACCTTAAAATCGTTCAAAATCGGGATTAAAATCGTTAAAATCGTAAAATCGTACCAAAATCGGGATTTTGATCCTATGTGAACAAAATAGGCAGTTTGAGCCAATTCAAAATAAGCAGAACTGTTTCGGTGGAAAGGGCAATGACGGGATTTTGTCAGATATTTTTCCTATTAAAAGAACATTTGAAAAGAAAAAATATCCCAGTTAGGGTTCGGTCAACCACTTTCCCTTCCCCTTGTTTAAATCATCGGTAAAATAGTTGTCATAATATTGTAAGTACGAAAGAATTAACATCATTATTAATAAATTAATTGATTAATGAATATAGTTGTACCAAACCAATGACATTAAAATTCTTATTGGAGTTCACTTATTCTTAGTTTTAATTATGCTTAGTAGACGATGTCCGAATACTACTTTGAGTTAAACTACCTAAACACAACATGAAAAACAAGAGCAAAATCTCATGAGCTCTATCCATTCCTCATAAATTATTTCGAGTTACGCATTAAATAACAATTAAAATGATGATTTTGGAACATTAATCTTAAAAATTATCACTTTAAATATATGTCTTTGTGTTTTTAATGATTTACCTTATTAATATTATTATATGTTAATTTCTATGTGGTACTTAAAATCCTACGATTCTACAATTCGATTTTACGATCCCGATTTTACCTCAGTTTCCGATTTTGGGTAAAATCCCGATTTTGACTGCTTTTGGATATAACCATAACGACTAGAAATGTCGGTGATGATGGTTTTCACCTTCAGGTCGGGCTGCTCCTCAATTAGATATTTGATAGCCGCGACAACCACCCTTGATTTCAACTGTTGATGGCCTTGGGATGTTATTGATCACACACATGTGTGTGTGTTCACCGCACGGGATATGACCCAATGGCCGACTTTGTTGCTCTTGATGGCCCGGACCCTAGCTTTGCATCCCTCATTTTGATTTTTGCATCTAACCATCAGCCTCTTCTTGTCGGAATGGGTTGCTTGCCATTCAACTCCGAGTCATTGCTTCAGTGGCAATAGTGTGCCGGACCTCATTCTTCGTTGCAAATTGTTAGCCCTTCGTAAAGCAGTGAGTGGACACCATACTGGCACCTCTGGTGGGTCCTTGTCGGCATCAACATACCAATCTTCATTTGGAATGTGATTGTAGTACGGGATAGGTACACGGTCGCAAGGTACCTCATTACCGTCTGCGTCTGAATCTGGACTGGAATCATCAGCACCTTCCAGAGGATCGAAGTTGTCTGCACTACCATCGCCTTCCTCTTCTTCAACCTCAGGGTCACTAACTTGGACTTGGATTGACCTCTTCTTCCATCAGATAATCATCATGAAAGGCACCTTCACCAGCTCCGTAATGGTAGTTGTGGTAACTAACACCGGTTTGGTCGAAGTTGTACTCGGGTGGGTACTGGTAGTCTGCTTGTTGGTTCTCATCCGCCTGTTGAGCTTCTTCTTCATATGAAGGGAAGGATTGATGATGACCTCCAGTTCCATCATGATACTCCTGCCTCCAGCTCGAGTCTTGGTACTCCTGGTGGGGATGATCTTCGTATAATACACTCCCACCGTGGATACTAGATGTTTGGCCATCTCCAGAATGACCTACACCGCCTTCGACGACCTCGGTGTAAACGAACATCTCCGCTTGCTTAATTTTATTGGTGGTCAAAAATTGGACCATGGCATCAACGTCCTCCTGAGTGATAAGGAGGAATTCCTCATTCCACAGCGACCCGTCATGTCTGTTTGGATATCGATACACCATTTGATCAACTCTTCTATGCCATCCATGTAGGTAATCTGAGTGCACATTTGATGGAGCTCTTCAAGCATCGGTCTCGTACGAACCTTCATTTTATAAAAATTGTCACCGACGTAACTTACACCATTTTCGGTCTCTTCCGTGTAACCATTCCACTGCAACCCAAGCGTGAACCTTTGGAATGCCATCTTTAATAAAACTGTAATTAAGTTACTAACACAAAATCACAAAGGAAAATGAAAAGTAATACAAAACAAACTTACGAATTAACGTTAATCGCAAAAACTAAATAATTTAAAGGTGCACAACTGAAATTTGAAGAAGAAGGAGGACGAGTGAAGATTTTGAGTTCTTTGGAACATCCTTTTATAGGCGAATTTTACAGTACAAATCGCGCGGGGGGGGGGGGGGGGGGGGAGCGATTTTAGGTCTGCCATGCAGCCCCACCCCCTGCATGTCGACATGTTGGATGTCGGGTGACTAGGCACAAACCGCAGCTGGGGCCAGCGATTTACTTTGCACAAACCGCTAGTGGGGGAAGCGGTTTATGTCTCCACATGGTAAACCGCGGCCTGGTGGTGCGGTTTACCAAGCTGACATATAAACGCTCCCTGACGAAGCGTTTTGTGGTAGGGCAGCCATATAAACCGCGCATTCGAAGAGCGGTTTTACCTGAAAAGGAAAACCGCCCGTTGACCAGCCGTTTCTAATGTAAACCGCAGCTTGGTGGTGCGGTTTATATATTAACCGCCTCTTAGAGGCGCGGTTTTTAATAACCGGTGGTATTTTTGAAAATTGTAGGGAATGGGTGGTATTTTTGTAATTTTTTTTAACAGTGGTAGTTTTGGATTTTTCCGCTATAATGGTCTTGGTGAGTTGAAATCAAATGGGTGAGCAAGTTGCATTGTTTCAATTTAAAGTAAACACTTGTCACTCATGCAAATATTATTATTAGTTATTATTATCAAAGGTAAATACACTTTATTAGCCAAATCTTTCGACTTTATACAAAATAATAGACAAATCTTTCAAAAACAAAATAATAGTCAAATCATTAACTTTTCATCCGGTCAACCGTTAGTTGACTATGACGTGACAAAATATTAAATGAGATAAATGATTTCTGATGATGTGGTAAACAGTCAAATGTTTGACTATGTGACTATGCCACACATAGATATTAGATAATTGGCAAAATACATATGTATAGCCATAACTTTGCACTTTGTGACAATAATAGCCAACTTTTAAAAAATACACTAATATAGCCATTCTGTTAATAACATTAACATAACCGTTATAAATGCTGACTAGACTAACTTTTTTTTTGTTGACGTGGCATTTCATTTCCAGCTTGCCTATGTGGATCTTTTCCTTTTATTTGAAAGTTAAATAAAAAAGGAAAATCATCTTTCCCACACCACATATCCCCAAACCCCTTTTCAACTTCCGTGCGTTCCCCTAGTCCACCTCGCCGACCGACCACCTCTTCCCCCAACCACTTCCCAGTTCCCACTCAATCGACGGCACAGCGAAGCTCACATCCGCCTCCATTTGATTTGTCTCGTCCAACTAATTGATTTTTGCAACTCTCTTCGAAAAGAATACCTCTGTACACAATCCCTCTGCCACCTCCCTCGGTCTCGTCTTTAACTCTCCCGTCGCCTACAGATCTGCACCGCCGCTTCCAATCTCCTTCATTCTAGAAATCCAGAGCGCTGCCGGAGAGATTGAGAGCCTTTGCAGCTGAAGTTTGAGGTGGCACCAGCCGCACCCTTTGCCGCCGCAGGAGAAGAGGCATCGAAGCTGGAGCTCTGCGCCGCTAGACAGGACATTGAACCTGGAGCTCGACTGACGATTGTTGGAGTCGAGCCTGGAGAGACTTGGAGGACATCGACCATCGTGATTTGGCTCTGATTGACAGATTCCCCTTCACAACTCAACCACTGACGCACAATTTCTTCCATTCGACGCGTTGCTTTGGCGAGAATCGGCCCACGAGCAAATTAGGTTTGTGGGTCAAAAGTCCATTTTCAAGCGATTTCAATTGAAATCCGTGTCTCCTCATCGTCGGTACCAGCAGCTGCGGAAGCATAGTGGGAAAATCAGCTGAGAAATTGATGGAGAAGATGAATACTATATGTCCCGTTGCCGATTCTTCTTGTCGGACTTCAAGCAACAGAGCGTCGACGGAGATGAAACGACAGAGAAGATGATATGGAGGATAAAAACTAATTTAGTGAAAATATTTTTTTTTAATTTAAATGTGGCATGGCAGCTAGGTGGCATGAAATAGTGTGTTGGAGCTGATGTGGCATCCAAGTCAGCATTTTTGTTAATGTTATTGACAGCTTTTCTAACGGTGTTAAAGTTTTTAACGGAAATGGCTATATTTGTCAAACTAGTTTTACAAAATGTGGCTATATCTGTGTATTTTTCAAAAAGTGGCTATTATTGTCACAAAGTGGATAGTTATGGCTATGGAAGTGTATTTTGCCTAAATAATTTTATCAAATAATATTTATTTTTTGACAAATGAACAAACTACAACTTTATTTATAGTCAGATTATAAAATGAAAAAGAAGATTTCGCTTCCTCTATCTGCTCCATGGTTGTCACGCCGGCCGGCGTGCCACCGGTTGTACCGGGTTCAACCGGTATCGGTCATAAAACCGGCATGACACCACCGGTATGACCGGCATGATCGATATAAGAATCTCTAAGTAAAATGTCCTTATTTTAGAGAATTTAATTGATAAAAATTATTTTATTATTTATTTTATGAGTATAAAAGTTAAATGTTGATGTTATTTGTTGGATTCAAATATAAATGTTTAGGTATTGACGTTAAATGTCATGTTCAAATATGAGTATTTATAATTTTATTTGTAATATTGACCGGCATGAACCGGTACAAACCGGTATGTGCCACCGGTTGAACCATTCCACTTGCTAAACCGGCACACTGGCATAAACCGGTTTGACAACCTTGATCTGCTCTCAACTTTGCTCTGCCGCCCTCACACCACCACCGTTAGTCTTCACGGCCACCACCTCCGTCGATTCGTCTACCAAAGCACCACCATAAAAGAGGAAGGAGAGGGTGTCGATGTCACCGTGCAGACCTGGGTTCAGCGCGATTTTGTTTCCCTCGATGGAGATCTGGGTTTCTTCAAGAAAGCCCACTGCGGAGGTTTCACTCACTGATTTAGGCGCTATCGCCAAGAAGGAAGGAGAAGCCGAGCCGTCGCCATCGAGAAGGTCACACTGCGATTGTCGTCGTCGCACCCAGAAGGAGGAAGAAGGTCTCGTCGAGGAAGGTTTTCTCCTCAACATCGAAACTTTAATTGGGATGCGATGATTATTCCTCCGCTGTTTCCAACTAATGGGCTGGTTTTGTTTATTTGCCCGGTATTTCCGTGACGAGTTCCAAGATCGAGCGGAAGATGAAGGGAAAAAGGAGGAAGGCGAAGGCTGGGGTATTTTTTGTTCTTGAACTGCATCTGTTTGTGGAGGAGATGGAAGATGAAGGGACATGAAGGGGAAGAGAAGCCTCGGGGACAGGGAGGGGAAGAGAAGGCCCTCCCGAGGGGATTTCTTTGTTAGATTAGGGTTTTTTTGTTTTCTTTTCTTGTTTTAAAATTTAATAATTAATTATATTGAAATTAATAAATAAAACTAAAAGTATAGTCAAACAGGGGCATTTTGCCACATCATCGATATTTGTCCAACTCAGCAATTAAATTGCCACATCAGAGTCAACTGACGGTCAATTAGATGGAAAGTTAACGGTTTGGCTATTATTTTGTTTGAAATAAAAGGTTTGTCAATTAAATTTTATTTACCCTATTATCAATTGGCAAGTTTGGCATTAGGGGTTTAGTGGTATACGGACGAGTATATCGCAATCTCGGTGCACTCCCACTTACCTCTTTCTTTTTGACTCGTTCTCACATCCTTCTGTCGCTTCGTCGATACCCTGGAGGCTAGCCAAGCTGGAGCTTGGGATGATGCCCGATGATGGACTCTCTCGCTAGCCGTCCCACCACTCTTTGTCCCCCAGATGATTGGCTTGACGGCTACCCAAGTGTCAGAGTACTTTCCCCCTTTTCCTCCTTCCAGAAACTCTCAGAGGGAAGTGGGCGGACAAACAACCCATGAAATCCAAATCGACGAACGATGGACAATCGCGGCAAGGAGATCGAATGAAAAAGAGTGGCGAGAGTGGAGAAAAACTCGGGCCAGTTCATGGAAAATAAGTAATTAACAGAATGGAAGACCCGAGGGATGCCTTCAATTTTGAATCACATGACACAACTACAGAGAGCTAACGATGAAGACAGTGACAATGAGCCTATTTAGTGATTTTCCTCCCTACGTTGATTGCATGCCTTGATCAAGACTCTTCCAGGGAATTGGAACCCAATCCAAATTTCAACTCTGCTACGTTCGGTCTGGGGAGTTGAGGATGTACAGGTGTCGCGGTGGCGAATCAAGTAATGGGGTTGGTCTTGGGATGCTTGGTTCAAGGGTTTGAGTGGGAGAGGATTGGTATAGAAGCAGTTGATATGACTGAGGGTTTGTGACTCACTCTACCCAAAGTTTAGATATTTAAATAAGTCGAGATTTGTCGTATTTGACGAATTTCTCTCGCAACGAAAAAAATAGTTCAGTCGATGATATGTAAAATATGTTTTAGTAGTACAGAAAAAGTTGGTAGGATGATTTGGTTATAAAAAAAAATATGTGTGGATAATGATAATTATGAGTATAAATTTGTTAGAAAAAATAAATTTAAGAATATAATTTTAATATTTTTGGATAACCATTTTTTTTTTTTTTTTGCATAAAAGGAGGCTAAAAGCCAAGAAGGAGAGATAACAGACGAAAGGAAGAAGAGGAAGAAGTAGCTACAACTCTGAGCTCAAAAGCGATACCCATGAGATCATCCTGAAGAATCGAGGCTAGTCCATGTGGCGGGTTCACAAGCTCATGAATACCGTAGGGATAGACGAGACTGTGTTTCGAGAGCCAGTCTGCGGCTCTATTCCCTTCTCGATATGTATGAGTGATGTTCACCAACCACTCATGTCCTAGCTTTCTACGAATAGCCGCAAGCAAGGTAGCATAAGGGTGTACCGGATCAGGGCGACTGTTGATAAGCTGAATAGCTAATTGAGAGTCCGACTCAATCCTCAGAGCTCTGCTTCCATACTTCCAAGCCAAAACCAGCCCATAGAAGAACGCCCACAACTAAGAAAGGGCAGCCGAGGCCTCCCCAATGTTAGCCACAATACCGGCTAACCATCTCCCATCTGAATCTCGCATCAATCCTCCAGCACCAGCAGGCCTTGGGTTACCGTTTGAGGCGCCATCAATGTTCAAGGAGGTCCATCCCACCGCCGGCGGCGCCCAACTTATCTCCGCGGTCACCCTAGCAGCGCGGGTCTCCTTGCCATCCAAAAGCAAATCCGGAGATTTCCATGCTTTGTTCCAGACCTTCGTCTTTACCATAATAGAGTGGGCTAAGGACGATGGGGCAAGAGCAGTAGTCGCACCTTTGAAACAAGTAGTGCACCTGTTCTTCCGGATTAACCAAGCTGCCATACTGAAAAAAGCAGGCCAGCTCAAGCCAGAACTGTCGCACTCATCATTATGCATATTATACTTGAGTCACGTCTGTTGATCCGCACTGAAGAAGGCCGCTTGCTTCTGTTCAGGAATACGCCGAGTCCAAAAGAAGTAAGCTGGCGGGCAATCTCGCAGAATGTGCAGGATGTTCTCAGTATGCCCAGTGCAACGGGTGCAAAAGGGGTTGAGAGCCGCCTTTATACGGAAGCGCTCTTCATTGGTTGCCAGCTAGTTGAGGAACGTAAGCCAGACGAAGCATCGGACTCGTTCAGGGACTTGTATCCTCCAAATAATCTTCCAAATGTTCTCGATAGGATCCTGTGGCTGTAGGTTGAGGAGTTTGTACGCTGTCTCACAGAGAATCTTCCATCAGAGGCTTCTGTCCAGAAAATTGTGTCCTCGTCCGCAAAAAGGTGGTCAACAACGATGCTTTGCAGCTTCTACAGGACGTCGCCAGGAAGGAGAGCCGAGAAAAGTTCCATCCGCTAGCTGCCATCAACTGCAACGAAGTCTGCAACTACTGCCTCCACCATGTTTGTTGGAATTGGCCCAATTGCCACCTCCTTTAGGGGAACCTCCAAACATCAAGCCAAAATTTAGTAGTGCGCCCATTCTTGATATTCCAAGCGCAACCTTTCCGAAGAAGGTTTGCGGCTTTCATAAAGCTTTTCCAGGTGAAGGAGCTTCCCTGACAAGGTTGGAGGAGATCCAAATTCTCCCGTTGCCTTCCATACTTCGCCCGCATAATTTGGGTCCATAGCGTGTCCTTCTCTTTAAGAATCCGCCACCCACTCTTTGCCAGCATCGCCAAGTTTGCTTGTCTTAAAGAACGCAATCCCGCTCCTCCTTGAGCTTTAGGCGAAGTCATCTTCGCCCAGGAAATCGAATGCATCTTTGACTTGTCCTCCTCTTCATTCCACACAAAATCCCTGTTTAATTTATCAATACACTTGCACACCCCAATAGGAATCAGCTCCGTGTTCATATTGTAGGTGGGAATCGAGGAAGAGACCGCTCGAGCAACCGTTAAACGAGCAGCAAGCGAGACTTCCTACCTTCCATGGAGCAAGTTTCTTTTGAATAACATTTTCCTAATGAATAATTGTAACAATTATTATACGGGGTAAGTTTGTGAATGAATTTTATTGAGTGATTATATTTTAATATTCTTAACTCTTAAGCATATATCATGATTATTGGTTACAATATCTTAACAAAAAGTTTTTATAATATCAAAAGTAACTATTAAACAACTAATAGTGGACGTGCCGGAGTGGTTATCGGGCATGTCTAGAAATCATGTGGTCTTTGCCTGCGCAGGATCAAATCCTGTCGTCCACGTTTTTTCCTTTATTAATCTATCAACTGAGTCAAAAGCATATATAATGTCTATTTGTTACAATAACTTAACAAAACGTTTTTATAATATCAAAAGTAACTTTAAACAACTAATAGTGGACGTGCCGGAGTGGTTATCGGGCATGACTAGAAATCATGTGGGCTTTGCCCGCGCAGGTTCGAATCCTGCCGTCCACGTTTTTTCCTTTATTAATCTATGAAAATTTGGTTTATGCTCGCTAAGGGTGTAAATTGGGGTGGGTGTTGTTACCTGCCTCACATTTTGTGGGGTATATCTATGAAAATTTGGTTTATGCTGGCTAGAGGTGTAAATTGGCGTGGGTGTTGTTACCTGCCTCACATTTTGTAGGTACTCCACACCTACAAATTTACAATTATGCTACCCACACCCACTACAGTGATTAATGGGTAACCACTACCCTTTGCAGGTTGGTGCGGGTTGGATGTGTTTACCAGCAAAAATCTATCTTTGCAAGTATGGAGTTGTGGCGGTCACTAACATATTTGTTGTTCTTAGCTAGACTATAGTGAAATAAAATTGTGTTGTTCGTGAAGACACAATTTTATATATCGATCTTATTCAACGTGGATATTTTTTCTTTTCGAGTTTGGTATTCAACTTTTGTGTCAGATATCTGTGATTTCATATTTCATTGACTAGGGGTGGAATATGACAATTAAACATGATCTTATATTTTCTTTCACACAAAGCAAAAATATACAGATAAAAGTTACTAAATGTGTCCACTTGTAATGAATTAATTATTCTCCATTCTCTCGATTATAGTGTTTTATAAACTAAATAGTTTTCACATAGAAATTCTTAGGTGCGTATTTGATTTTGGTGGCTACTTTAATTTTTAGCCTCTCACTTTTGACATACTATTATATTATAAAGTTAATTCAGTAAATAAATATAATTAGTATTGTTGATGCCAAGCTAAAATAGCTGACCTCGAATGTTGTAGATTCCCGAGAGTGTTGACCTTTTGATTTGCCGTTGGATTCCAGCTCTCGAGATGAATACCTGCAAAAAAGGACCCGCCGGTTGTGGTCGGCTGGGACCTTTTCCAAAGCTCAAGTCAGTACTTGAAAATAACCGGGAGCGGTGTATAGAGCCGACTCTAGGGAGAAAGAAAGAGAAATTCTGGGGTTGGAAGTTGCCAATTCGCCGAGAAGAAGTTCGTCGGGAATTCCCCTTTTCCTTTCTCGTTCGGAGAGAATGAGTTCCCTGGAATTGAGATGGGTTGCCGAAGAAACAGAAATGAATGACCTATTTATAGGTGTGTCCTGCTCTGGCGAGGTGGCGTGTCCTTTATCAGTAGTGATTTAAAACATAAAACAACAAATGAAGTTAACAACTTAATTAAGGGTTTGAGAAACTTACCTTGTACGTAAGTGCATGCATATGGCTAGCAAAATAAAATGCCAAAGCTCACCATACTTGCTTCCACGTGTAAGAATATGGGATGGGCATAGGATGAATTATTAAAAGGGTTAGTGGTAAAAATGACATCTTTAGCCCCATTAGTTCCACGTATGATTGGTTTGATTAGGGTAAGTGGGAGACTAAGCTTATGACTAAGTTAGTTCACATACACGTGTAACAAGGCAAAATAAGCATGTTGATTGTGTGCGTTAGGGTAATTTCTCCAACTTCTTAAGTCTTGAGTAAGTGAGAAACAAACTTGCTTTTCTACTTGTCAAGGAGTAGCACGAGATGGGAAGCTGAGCGATCAT